GTGGATAGTGCTTGGTATAAGGGGAACTTCAAATTGATAAGTTTTAGACTGTATAAAGTTTAATACACGCAAAGAGTTTCCTCTCCCCTCATGAAGATTATTTATTTGCTAATGCCGGGATTATTTTTTTAACCATTTACCAAAGCTTTACCAGTATTTATTTTGTTAAATCATTTGGTGCGTTTTATTTTTACAGTCATTGCTGCTCCTAGCTTACCTCATAAGGAATGGATCAGAGCGTGTTGTTACAAGTGCCAGAGAACACATTTATGATTTGCGATCCCTGGAAAATTACCACTTTGTAGGTGAGCAATAGAAAAACCTTATAAGCAAATTAAAACAGTAGTTGGAGTTGTCAGTCACCTGAACCAGCTTAGAAGCTTCTCCTCTCTAATTAGAATGTGACTGTTGCTGGTTGTGTGACGAGTGCAGAATCCAAGACGTGGGGCCCTAGAGTATTAATTAGTGAAGACAAGAACTTGCAGAAAAGACTGGCTAATAACAACAGAACCAACACAACATGAGTGTTCGGGTTTATATTAAAATATGCACTGGAGACTGGTCCCCTGTGGTGTCCATAAAGGAATAGCTTTAATCAGATGGGAAGAAAAGGTTAGAGCTCCAAAACACACACATCTGTTTGAAGCTGGGGATTCTTTTCCTCCACCAAATAATATTTACTGTGCAAAGGCAGCAAGGCCAGAGTGTGTTTTGAATGTGAAAGAGGATACAGAATGAACCACATTTCATTTTGTAGTGTACCCCAGTTGAAAGCACTTTAAAATTCAGTTTTTCAGCTATACTAAATTCTGGTAATTAGTGTTTTTAAACTTGTATTGGGAAAACCAAGGAATTGGGGGTGGGTACTTTTCAGTCATTAATTGTGAATTTTAATGACTGAAATGAGTTTTGCTTTTTGTTTTGTTAAAATATTATCGAAAAAGAAAATAACATTCATGGATATAAGTCCATTTCATATGGTCATTATTAGTAATCCTTCTTAGTGGATCTTTAATTGATCTTGCATAGCATTATTATCTCTGGTCCTTTATAGTTAACCTTTACAGGCTTTTAACAAACCAAATTTGCATCTCAAACCTTAGAATTTGCTGATGAGGAAATGACAAATTTTAACAACACATTTTGCCTCTATTAAAATATTGAAGTTAGTTTTTTATGTTGAAATTTTCATGCCTGTTTTTTGTGTTAAAGAATTCGATACAGATTAACTAAATTCTTAAGGTTTTGTTTCTCCCTTACCATCCTCACAGATGAGCATGGCAAGGATCAAGGTATAAATATTCGCCAGAAGGTTAAAGAATTGGTTGAATTTGCCCAGGATGACGACAGGCTTCGTGAAGAGCGAAAGAAAGCAAAGAAGAACAAAGACAAATATGTTGGGGTTTCCTCAGACAGTGTTGGAGGATTCAGATACAGTGAGTATCAAAAACAGACTGGCACCTAAATATCAATTTAGCTTCTGGGATATATTTTAAGAATCATTGAAATAGGAAAGACCAAAATGCTATTTTTTTAGGAATACATAGAATACTGAAATATACATAATAGTCATTTCAGCTCCTGTTACATGAATTTTAGGAATCTTTCTCTTTATTTTTTACTTTGGTGGATTCAAGAATATGATTTTAACCATTAATTGTTAAATGACTGCAATAAAACTATATATCCTGCTCTCTTGGGATTATCATTCTTTAAAAAAAGGATTTCTCTAATTCACCATTTAGCGCATAAAAATATGAATTTTGATCAAGAGATGATCTTTCTAATTTGAAACCAATTTAGCTGTTTTGGGCCAAAAATAGATACTAATATTCCTATAAGTTAGTTCAGCCTCAGTTTTTTCCCTTCATTAGGCAGTGCATTAATTTGCCATAGAAAAAGGTGACTGGCAGTACCATCAGTTTTCATCAGGCCTATCATTGTATTGTTCCTAACACATTTCAGAGCAGCTAGAACATTCATCTCCTATGTTTATTTTATTTATTATTATCATTATTATTATTTTTATCCTCACCGGGGATATGTTTATTGATTTTAGAGAAAGAGGGAGGGAGGAGGAGAGGGAAAGAGAAACATTGATGTGAGAGAAACATCACCCTGTTGCCTCCTGTATGCATCTTGACTGAGGTTTGAACCACCAACCTGGGAATATTTCCTGACCAGGAATCAAACCCGCAACCTTTTGGTGTACGGGACAACACTCCAACCAACTGAGCTACCTAGCAGAGCTCCCGTGTTTATTTTTAATGTAATCATATAGTTTGTCTAAAATAGATCACTAGATGCTTGAAACATACAGAAAGTATCAGAGTATGTCTCTTTGGTCTCGGCTCTACTGGAGCTCTGGTCACCCCTGGTCATTTTGTGGACACAGTGCTCTGTATACTTAACTGCATATTGGGGCTCTCCAACTCTCCCCACCCATATCTGAATTGTTTATATTTGGATTATACTGACAAGTTGTAACTCATCATTGGAACTGTGTGAAAACTTTCTATTTCTTGTCTTATGATTACCAACTAGGATAAAAGAATATTTTCACTCCTTTGCAACTCTGCTTTCTTGCCCACAAGAAAAAATACTGCACTTAACTAGCTGTTAGAGGATGTTTCTAACAGCAAAAAAATTTCTTTATGTATCAGCATCAAAAGGGAATTTGTGAATCGGGAAAAAATATTTATATTAAATAAATCACATAAATATGTTTTGGAGTTTTTATTTGTTTAGGGGAATAAGACATTTTTAGATTATTTGCCTAAGTAATTTTTGTTCTTTAACTTTTTCAAACTAGCTATAGCAATTTAATGTGTTTTTTAGTAGAAATTGCTCTTTGCAACTTATTTCTTCATTCTACTTGCTTAGAATCCTCCTTTTTACCAGCACAATGTAGAATTAGAAAAATTTAGAAAATTGAATAAGTTTTCAGAGTCAGTCACAGTGAACTAATATACAGTATTTGCAGTGGAGATGAGTTGTACATCCTATCTATTGCATCACATTCTTTTATAAATTATTTTCAGAGACCTAACTAATCAACTTTAACTATTTTATATGTGTGTTTGTTTGTTTTTTATTTTGACATCAGGTAATATCCTGCCAATATCCAGTATCTTTGGCACACATTTAGTATGACATCTACCACAATAACCAGTTTAGTTTTCATCTACTTTGATTTTTCTGGTAAAAAAAAAAATTTCAGTCTGGTTTATCACATTGTCATTGAAATGTACGTTATTAGAAAAACCACCATTTTAATAAAACCATCCTGGTTTAAATTTAATAAGCTTTATTCATGTTTTGTTCAAGTTGGTGGTCACTTTCAGATTAGTAGACATATTTTAAAATCCTCAAGCTCTTACAGAAAATTTTGACTTTGTTGTTTTAGCAGACAACTCAGTAAATGGTTTTATTCAATCTCCAAAGGACATATATGCCATCAGAACTTGTTAACCAAAGTTCAAAACAAAAGATCTCTTAGCCACATTTGTATTATTTTATTTCTCATTGCTCTTCCCCTTTTTCTCCAACCTGTCTTAATTTTCAATGTTTTCTTCTCTTTAACCTCATGGCTTCTCTGTACCTTCTATTCTTGCCTCAAGTTTGAGTTTGGATATGGACAGGGAAATGGAAAAGTTCCCTTTAATGTTCATAATTCCTTTCTCTCCTTTGGACCTCAAGGTCAAGGATGAAAACAGATCTTGACATTTTGGGGGTTTTTGTTCACTGCCATGATCTATTCCCTTCATGCTCAAATTCACTGAGGCTCCATAGGTTTTGCTAGTCCCAGCATATGTTTGTTCTGAACTGCTTGAGCATACTTCATGATTCCAGTCTGTGTAGCTTTTGGTAGTTAGAATATTTTTTTCTTGTTACTGTAATTAAAAGATGCTTTCTCATGTCATGAAGTCCATTGAGTTATATGTCTAGTTAGATACTAAGGAATGACATTTATGAGTCTTTTCAGCACATTGGGATATGTAGCATCCTATATCTTGTGCTTTAGGAGACTTTGCCATCCAGTACTTTGCTAATAATTGAAAAATTCTTGAGAGACAGGAATGAAATATAATTCATTAAGTGACTTTTGTGAAAACAGAAAGATTTCCATTTCTCCTTTGCTTATATAGCCTGTTGTGGTTCTTGTGTTTCCCTCTACTCCTTCCAGCAACCTTTAAGAACTTCCTGACAATGCTGTGCTATGCATTAAGGTCATGCAAGTTTTCATAAATAAAAGCTTTTGAATCTGCATTCCTGCCACCTAATGACTGGCAGTACATGCTGTGCCTTGCTGTAATTGTGTTGATTCAGCACTGTGGGAGCTTTCTGTTTTCCTTTGAAAACTATTTTATTATGAGGAAAAGCTTCAGAAATAAGAACAGTAGATACCTTCTGAATTTAATATCCTTAGAGTTGCTTCTCTTTTTAATGCTTATATAGGTGAAAGATATGATCCTGAACCCAAATCAAAATGGGATGAGGAGTGGGATAAAAACAAAAGTGCTTTTCCATTCAGTGATAAATTAGGTGAACTGAGTGATAAAATTGGAAGCACAATTGATGACACCATCAGCAAGTTCCGGAGGAAAGATAGAGAAGACTCTCCAGAAAGATGCAGGTATTAACACTTTGTATTCTGGGTCACTTGGAGAGGGTGCTAAAGTTATGCAGCTGTTTTTGTTTTGTTTTGGGTGTTATTATTTGAGGTTCAGCTTTTCCCCCCTAATATATTTAAGTTTTAGGTACCCAGAAAAATTGTGCATAAAGTACAAAGTTGCCATATTAACACACATAAAATTTCTACTGTCATTAACATCTCATATTAATATGGTTCATTTATTAACAATTGATAACCAATATTGATAAATTGTTAACTCTGTTGTTTGCATTAGGTTCACTGTGTTGTACGGTTGACAAATGTATAATATCCACCATTATAGAACCATATAGAATAGTTACCCTGACCTAAAAATGCCCCTTGCAAAAATATGGAATGATTTATGAATTTGCATGTCATCCTTGCACATGGATCATGCTAACCTTCTCTGTATTATTCCAATACTAGTATGTTTGTTGCTGATGACTGGCTGTGCAGCTGTTTTTAAAATTCAAGGTCAAACATTATTTGAAATTTGTATTAACACGCTTTCCATATTGTCTGTGTCCATTTATTTCTAAAGTTATCATATTTCCTATATGTTTTTATTGAGGCTATTTATTGGAATTACTTTTTTGCCAATAAGAACTTTCAGAGCTTATTTTTCATTTGGGCATCAGATTATCCAGAAATCTAAGATATTGCTGAGGGAAAACAAAGTTTATTATATTAAATTTAAAACTAGGGCTTGAAATTTGACTCCTCCTGTGACATTTCATTATGATTCTGTGCCAGTGTGTACCAGAAAAAAAAAATTCCAAATGGATTTTTGGACTAAATGTTTTTGAGTATAGACCTATATTTTCACAAACTACATTTTCTAATGGTAGGGCATTTTTATTTAGATTTATATAGAGCAATACTTGGAATAGCATTAATTTTTTTTCTACTTACCAATATAGCTATAATCTAGTTTTCCTTCTAGTTAAAAGAGCAATGTATGTTGAGCACTTCACTTGCAAAGCAGGTTTTATAAGATTTTTTAATCATTTGTGCCCCATAGTATTTCTGATAGGCTAAAGAAAGGGTTTTTACCTTTACTGTATAGAAGTAAAACCTGAGGTCCATTAAGGCTGTGTGGAACTTGCTTAAAATAACAATTAGTGATGGAAGCCTTCAAGTGACTTCTTATAACTAAGTACTATCTCTTTTTTTCCTTAAAACATATTAATAGTTCAGATTTAGGGGTCATCAAAAGAGGAAATATAATTTTGAAACTAGGGATTTTTTAATATTTGTTTAGTGTTTCCATATATATTAAATCCCTGGAATTCCTGTCTTTTTCAACAATGTTTCTAGATATGATCTTTGAAGAGCTAGAATTTATTTTTAGTGCTTTGAATATGTATATCTATTTTATAACTACATTTCTAGCTCTTTAATACTGAAATAGTTACATATGGTAATAAATACTAAACTTTGGGAAACGGTGCCTACTTCAAATATTCTGTGCAATTTTTCTCTCATTAATGTTCTTGTGGCCTGTGTGTTTACATTTTTATTTTGGTTTAGAAAACACAATAGAATATATTGCTGTTTCCTGAAGAAGTGTGGGAATCAGGTAGATAAGGTGGTTAGACATCAATGTATTCTGGTGTTAGTACTTTCCTTTGCCCTTCCATTCCCACATTCTCAGTTTTTCTTTCTGGGCTTTTGTCGTCTTATTCTTGTTTTTTCTCTTTTTCTACCTTGATTTTTTTTCTATGTTGACTCTAAGACAGGATCTGCTAGAGTTCCTAACTCTCTTATATAGAGTATCCAAGTTTAAAATTGAAAATACAGTGTGTATTTTTTATCCTAGTAATTAAAGGGCACACCAGGGACTTTACATCTTGGAGTATTTGTAAGGAAAAGAGTAGATTTTTGGACAAAGTTGCATGTTACTCTGGCTTATTACTAGAATTTTAAACTTCTTAGTTCATTATTAAATTCAGGAATTTTTGAACATAGATCAGATCTGAGGCTTCCATTTCATTGTGTGCTAGTCAGGTGTATGTTATCAAATTGTAAAGAAATTACTTTGTATTGAAATAAAATTGGACCTCAGAAAGGTATGAAATTTCTGTTTTACTTACAGGACTGATGATGGGGATCTTTAGGTCATTTGTGCTGAGAAATTATATAGTAAGTGATAAGGGCTTTTAAACACTTACTCAGGATTTGTAGATTCCCTAAAATGCTTATAGATAAAAAAAAATGCATTTAATCCCTTTGCTGTGTGTAGGAAGCCATTCTTCTTGATCCTTGATTTATACAGATTTGGAATGAAACCATTCAAATGTGTTTATATTTAAGTAGAAATTGTGTTAGATTATTCTGAGTTAAATTACATTTAGTAATAATAGTCATAGTTTTAAAGAGAATTTTCAGTATTTTATTTCAGGGTATTTTAAAATTAAGATTTATAAACCACCTACTCTAAAATTAATATAGGTAATGGAGTATACTTTAGATAATTTCTGTGTTCTACTTGCACCAAAGAAAACCACAAAAACCCCAATGCTTTATTACTGAAAAATGGACTAGTGCTGGCATTTTTTAATTCATGGCATATGAAAAACTTAGGTTTTTTTACTCATTTTGTATTTTTTCTTCTACACTGTTAAAAAAATCTTTTTGAATGTGCCTGAAAAAAACATTTCAAAACATTGTAAATATTTGTTTTAAAGATTTGTTTTCTGTGAAGCAATGTATTTGATCTACTGATATTATAGTAAAAAAGAGCACAGTTGTTGTAAAGTGTATTACCTTATATTTCTCTGCATTTATAGTGTTTAATCATTTTAATTTAAATATGATAATATTTAAAACATATCCATAGAAATTGAAATATTTTCTTAGGTATTGCATTAGTATATGAGAGTCAATGACAGAATTAAGTTATATAAATGGAACTATAGTCCCACACAATCTATTTCAAAAAAATGGTCATCAAATGCAGATGTTGGAACTCCTAGGGTCTCCTCTTTTGATTCTGATACGATAATCTGTTAATTTTTAATTAAGATTTAAATCTATAATAAATAAGCACTTCATTTATTTCAGATATTTTTTGTTTGTATACATTTATGTAAATACATTTTTATAGCAGTGTTTTAGACTTGTCTAGGGAATTGGTTGGGTTCCCACTTTCCCTCCCCAACACACACATGTCATTATTCATATAGCTTAGATAATATTCTGTTGATCCCTGTCAAATAGTCAAAGTATGGAATTTTAGAGTTACTGTATTTGAAATTCTCTAGCTCAAGTCACCGAGGACTCCATTTTAAAATAATCCCTAGTCTTATTATTTTGCTTTATTTTTAATATCTTTTAGCGATAGTGATGAGGAAAAGAAAGCAAGAAGAGGCAGATCTCCCAAAGGTGAATTCAAAGATGAAGAGGAGACTGTGACGACAAAGCATATCCATATCACACAAGCCACAGAGACCACCACAACCAGGCACAAGCGCACAGCAAATCCTTCCAAAACCATTGATCTTGGAGCGGCAGCACATTACACAGGGGACAAAGCAAGTCCAGATCAGAATGCTTCAACTCATACGCCTCAGTCTTCAGTGAAGGTGGGAATGGCACAAATTTACACATTATACACAGTTTTATTTTTATAAATTACTTTTAGAATTACTGCATTAGTAGGCTTAGGCATTTCCAGACAATCATATTAATTATAGATCATTTGGCATGTATTACTCAGAGTCATTCATTAATAATAAGAAATCTCTTAGGGGAAAGAAATCTGTCTAATTCCTGAATGAATGTCTGCACTTTCTATGAAAGTAGAAATGACACTCTTGGTTCACTTGGGAAAGGTTGTGAATCAGAATATAGTACATCTGTTTCCGTCTAGTTACACCTCTGGTTACCAAGTACAACGAGATTCACTAAAGAAAACATGGGAATATTTGGAAGTTGTAAGAAAGGGCAAAAGACGACCAAGTAGATGTATAGGGGAAATGGTCTCATTTAATACAGAGATGGCGCCTTTAAGTGGGAAGCTTATTTATTTGGTGGACACTACTGATCCATAGTAGCTCTTACTCTTGTACCTTCCTCATTTATTTTTTATTCACTACAGAAATGGATGTTCACCTACTAGATACCTGGTCACAGCTAGTCCTTTATTTTATTTATTTTTATTTTGGGGGGGGGCTTCCGGTAAAAACCGGAAGACCTGCTGGACAAATTAAAAAAAGAGCTGTAAGCACTCACAGCTAGTCTTTTAGACAGAAATGTGCCAAAGAGGGAGATTTATCTCAAAAAAGCTAAATTGTTTCGTCACTCCCCCTACCAGTGTTTGCTCATCTTGTATCTTTGCATCAGAAGTAGCTAAAAACTAGGGGAAACATTTTTCTAATGCATCCTGCAAATAGTAGATGACTAAAAATAAAGCTTGTCCTACTTATTGTCAAGAACAAGTAGTATGTATGCCCTAGCCGGTTTGGCTTAGTGGATAGAGCTTCGGCCTTCAGACCAAAGAGTCCCAGGTTCTATTCTGGTCAGGGGCATGTACCTTGGTTGCAGGCTCCTCTCCAGGCCTGGGTCCTGGTCAGGGCTCATGCAGTAGGCAACCAGTCAATGTGTTTCTCTCACATCAATGTTTCTTTCCCTCTCTCTTCCACTCTCCCTAAAAGTAAATGGAAAAAATATCCTCGGGTGAGTATTAAAAAAACAAAAAGAACAACAAGTACTATGTCAACTTTTGCCGAATACCTTCTAGTTACTAGTATATAATTTCACTCACATTTGCTCTTTTCAAGTTTTGATAAAAACCTCAAAATTACAACTCAACTTTAGTTGTAGTTAAAGAGCGGATATGGCTGTTACTTCTTTCTGGTCTTAGATTCCCCCTGTTGTGGATATAGTTATTTTACTGATGGTGGCAGTACAGGATCTAGTAAATAGTTAAAACCCAAATACATGATGGTTATTATGTGGAGAATTCATTTAAGGTTGCATGAAGAAAATTATCCCAACTGCATAGTTTCTAAACAATAAATCAAGATTTTTATATTTTGTAGGATTTTAAGTATCAATTGTAGTACAGTCTGAATATGTCACTCTGCCATAAATATTTTATATTTTTTATTTTGTTTTTACTACAAAAAAAGTTCAGAAGGTCAGTTCTTGAAAAGTTTCTCAACTATTGCAGATCTCTTTCAATCTCAAGGCCTTTTTGAACCATGATACAATATTTTAATCTTCAAAGCTCAAATTAACAAGCCTAGGAACTCACAGTGTTTCCCTATTGCCTAGCAATTCTGTTCTCATGTAGTGTGTATGTATTGAATGTATAGCATATGCTTCATAGTGCTTGGCACTATGGGGAAGAGAAAAATCATATTACCACTCCAGCCCCAATATTTAGTTTGGGAACTAAATATGAAATAATTAATGTCAAGGTATATCAAATAAAATAGAATTGT